ATCGGCCCCTTCAGTTCGTTTTGTCGCAGGCTGCTAAACATGGATGCCGACCGATGGGTGCACATCAACTGTGCGCTGTGGTCCGCTGAGGTGTATGAAACGATGGACGGCGGACTAGTAAACGTCGAGCAGGCAGTTCGTCGAGCGAGCACTTCGCGCTGCTGCCGTTGTGATCAGCCGGGTGCCACTGTGCCATGCTACAAACTGCGTTGTGGGAACAACTACCATTTGCAGTGCGCTGTTGAGAGTCGCTGTACGTTCATGATCGACAAAGTAAGTACTGCACGTTTGAAATGTCACATACCTGAGGACTTGGACTAACGCAAGTCCGTGACATTTGACTGATGACCGATGAACTCGCGTTTCAGACGATGTTCTGCATGGAGCACGTGCCACAAACTCGCGAAGGTGTGCTTACCAATCTGGCCGTGTTTCGTAAGGTATTCGTCGACCGGGATGAAAACCATCTGCTCGCTAAGTGAGTCGGGTTTTTGTCATTGCTTACGTTTTTTCTGTGTCTCATCTCTCACATTTTCAATCATCTTTAGACTCTATCAGCAAGGTGAAACCGGCGACTTGTCGATGCGCATCGGTAGCCTGCTTTTTCATCATATCGGTCAACTGCTGCCTCACCAGCTGGACGATTTTCACAACAAGGATTTCATCTATCCGGTGAGGATGTTTGCCATAACTGTTTTCCTGTGGATATGTTGTCACGCAAGTATCAACGGCCCGTAATTAATTTTTCTGGCCATAACTTGTTTTTTTCATAACCCGTGACACCATGAGTGGGATTTTTAATATTGGTTATCTTAGAGAGTTTCATGTCGTTGGGTGTTAGTTGTACAAAGTAAGGTCGATTAGCCTCCAGATGGTATTTTCTCTTTTCCAGGCCTGTGACTCTATTGTCAGTCAGATGTTAAGCGAGATCAGACTAAACGAATATTAGTTTGAATGATTTGAATTTCTAAGTTTGATTTGTTTGTGATGATATTTCAGTTTTTCTGTTTTTTGCACACTGGTTCACTTCGTACGCGTCCTGTAAGTACGGCCAAGCCTTTTACTTTGGAATTTGATAGGATTTTATGGTGGTGCATCCACCAGTTGGACTCTGGTTAACTGATTGTTTTCGTTAACATTAATCTTGAAGAGAGATGATTCAATGTACAGATTCATTTATCGTCAACGACTTCTGCTCGAAAGATGATTGTGGAACCATAAGATTGTTCTCTGATTAGTCGATATTTTAGGCTGGACGATATTCCTTCACGTTTGCTGGATAGTAATTCCTTGCCCCAGTACGTTATCATGTTATTCTGATCATTGCCCCTTCGTTTGTATGTAGTATAAACACTGACGTTGAGTTTAAAGCATATTTGAATTGCACCTATTGCAGCTTTTCTGCTTACCTGAATTTTTGACATTGTTTGTCTGTTTAGGTAGGATATTCTGTGACGAGGATCTACTGGTCAAGAAAACATCTGCGGAGACGAGAGCAGTATCACTGCAGCATCGCCGACGTGAACGGCAAGCCTCAATTCTATGTTACTTGTAAAGATCCGTTTCTGTCAGAGGTTGTTTACCAGGCACCGAACGCAACAGGTATTGATATTTTGCCTTTAATGTGTACGTAGAGTCGTTGTTTTCATTCCGCTTGAGTACTGTCTTCGTTATGGATGGTTATCAAATTGAATTTCCTGAAACGTAGAGCATTCGTTTCCCGTTCACCTGGATCAGGTGATCACTTTGGCAGGGAGGTAGTGATCGACGAATTGTTGCGGCCATAACACCC